GGAAACTGGATCGTCTGCTGGAGCGAGAATGGGAGCGCTAGAGTTTCCCCTGTACAGAGGCCAGAACCCAGCACGGAGGCCTGGGGCCTGTGCATCTTTAATCGAGCCATGAATTATAGAGCAGTCTGCATCCCTGTTTCTTCCCTCTCCGGTTCCGCTGTCTGTGTTTCCTTCTTGCCATGTCTGTGTCTGTCTCTCCCGACCTTTCCTAGCCCTGCCTCTGCCCCTTCCTAGGGCTCTTTGGTGTGCCTCCTGAGGGCTGGGCAGGCCTCTGGGAAGGGGCTGTCCTGGCAGGAAGTCCAGGCTGGTTGGCAGGCCGTTGAGCGGTAAACTCTCGGTGCCTCTCCCCCAGCTGGGCTGGCTGCCAGCTTCACCCCTAAGGTAGGCGGGAGGGCCTGTACCCTATGGCCACCCCCAGCTTATGGGGAATGAGCCAGGCGCTGGAGTCTCACACCCAGCCAGGGGCAGCTGGACCACATCTGGCTCTGTCCCAGGGCATGAGAGCACGCGTGTTGTCACAGGGTGGGGCCGCCTGGGCCTTCGCCCTCCAGGAAATGGGGGTGTCTCTTCCACACGAAGAGTCTCCCCCAAGGGCCGTCTGGGGTGACCCCTGTGTTTCTCCCCCAACAACAGTTTCCATGGAGAATGGACTGGGTCCAGCCCCAGGATCCCCAGAGAAGCAGCCTGGCTCTCCATCCCCTCCCAGCGTCCCGGAGACTGGCCAGAGTGTAACCAAAGGGGAAGGGGGGACTCCAGCCCCGGCTTCCCTGCCTGGGGGTAGCAAGGAAGAGGAGGAGAAAGCCAAGAGGCTGCTGTACTGTGCTCTGTGCAAAGTGGCTGTGAACTCCCTGTCCCAGCTCGAGGCACACAACAAAGGTACGGCCCCCACCCCAGCCACAGCTCCCGACCTCAGCCCAACCTGCCCCTGCCCTGTCATCCCGAGACCCTCTAAAATATTCCCGTCTGTCTCCTTCCCCAGCCATCCCCCCCTTCCCCAGTCCTTTCCCCCTCAGCTCCCTCCACCTTGCCTATGACCCTCCCCTGGTCCTCCTGTTGGGAGGATCCCAAGAGACCTGGGGGAAACCTCACACTTGTCCCCTGCCCAACATGGCACCTGGGAACGTGGGTATTTGAGGCTTGAGGCTGGCAGGCCTGGGGGATTCTTCCACCCCTTACCTCCTGCCCTCTTGGGCTCCAGGTACTAAGCACAAGACAATTCTGGAGGCCCGAAGTGGGCTGGGGCCCATCAAAGCTTACCCTCGGCTGGGGCCGCCCACCCCAGGGGAACCAGAGGCTCCTGCCCAGGACCGAACCTTCCACTGTGAGATCTGCAATGTCAAGGTCAACTCGGAGGTCCAACTGAAGCAGGTGGGTCTCAGGCCCTTCCCCGCTGAGCGGGGAAGGAGAGCAAGGAGCCCGGGCGAGGGCCCTTCTCCGGGCTCTGCCCGGGGCGCCAGGGGGCGGGCGCGGTGCTCGGAACGCCACGAGCCGCCCCGAGCCC